TGTGTGTCATGAAGATTCTAAGGAAATGTAGATGGGTGGAGAACGCTTTGGTTGTTGGTCCATCTAGGAAACCGTGAGTAGTTTCTTGCTTGCAGGTGTATTAATGGTTGTTTTCGTGTTTATTTAATATATCTATGTTGCACATGTTTCAGCTTATGCCTTTTCCCATATATATTTGTGCCTATTGATTTGGTGACTCTAGCTTTGCAATTTGCAGGGATGACGAGTCTACACACAGGGACGAAGGCCGAGTCGACTCACCAATGACTCTACGAGTTCGAAAATCTGTGAAGGTACATATAGCATGATGTTAAATTTACGCAATTTTTTTATTTTGAATTAGTTCAGAGTTTTTGGGGTTTTTACTGTTCAATAGAGCGGTAGTTAAAGAAGACATCTTTGTGTCCGTACAGTTGGTTGGAAATGAAAATTGCCCTGCATTAGTTGTTAATTAAGCAAACTGTATGTAGGCTTTTAATCATATTGGTTGTTTTGGAATTTCGTAAAAGATTTTTTGTATTTTTATAGGTTGGAGCACCAGGAACGTGATACTCAGTCTAAAATCTGAACACAGTGAAGAACTAAAGCATATCTAACTGCAAGCTGAAAACGAATTGAGAGAGGTTCAAATAAATATCTTTGAATTAAGTTGGAACTGCTTATTTAACTAGAGTGTTATATGCTTACGTTACAAACCAGTTTATCATTTTCATAGAAAACAACTTCAATGAGGAGCGAACATGAGGCTGAGCTGACAGGTTTACGGCTTCAGCATGAAGATGAGTGTGAGAAGATGCAGGATGAATTAGATCTTCAAAAGTCTAAAGTACATATCTACCATTAAATAATTGATATTTTTGTACCTTTTACTTACGGAAGAGGGCATTACTGCAAATGCAGTGGAGAGTTTTGGTAATAAGCCACAAGAGGACCAAGAAGTGAATTCAAAGGTTGGCTTTATAATAGATAACTCTCTCTCTCTCTCTCTCTCTCTCATATCCACAAACACAGATTAAATTACTATAAGTTGTTTAGTTGCAGTTTATTTACTCCACTAATAAAGAATTTGTTAAATTACTATAAGCTATTTAAATTTTAAATGTTTTATTTCCATTTGAAAATTTGGGAAGTTCTAGGTATGTTGTTTATGGAAGAAGCTCAATCTCAAATCCTTCAAACGATCTCTCAGTTGCCACTTTGTTTTCGTAAGTTGTGGAACTTGATTTTCTCTATTCGTTGTTGTTGAAGTAGCTAAGTCTTGAAGGTAAAATGTTGAAAGCCAAAAACATGTAGACAGGGGCAAGATTTGTGTGAACTACTGATTGAGTCTGCATTCAATTGTAACTTTTCATGCAGTTACATGCTGATGAAATAGAATTCAATTTTTTTATTCCCTTTTTTTTTTTAAATGCAATTACATTTATATGATGATTTACAGCGTATATTCATCTTTTAGTTTCTAATTCTTCATGCAGTCTAAGCCATGAAGGATTTGATAAACCCACAATTGATAACAATGTGTAGTGGCACCAACGGTTTAGGAGATCTGGTTTAGGTTTTGCAGAGAGAGAGAGAGAGTGAGAGATAGGGAGTGTTCGAGAGAAATGTGGGAGGATTTAGGCGAGGGATTTCAGGGATTTGTTTAGGGTTTCTTTTCTGCGATTTGCAGACAGAGAGATGGGACAAGGGTAAGAGAGAGAGATGGGAGGATTTTCTGCGAGGGTAAAGGGAACAGAAAAAGCATTTCGTTTTCCATTTGTTTCCTCAAACCCTTGGGATTTCTGAGATTGCAAAGAGAGAGAAATGGGGGTGTCCGTTAGGTCCCCTTTAATTGTCACTTTTGTGATTTGTCCACCCTTGATTGTTGTGTGATTCATTCTCACAAACGTTCTATGCACAAGGTTTCGTATTCTTCCTTCCTTTTAATTTTGATACTTTTGTGCTTAATTTCTGTTTTATTATTTGGTGATTAGATTAACAGACCTTGGCTATTTTGGTATAATAATTTCACATCGCGTGTTACCCTTTTGCATCACCTTAATTGTTCATCAGATGCTAACTTTTAATTATGTCTTCTTTGAGTCAGTCTCCATCTGGTACATTTGTCCATCCTTCTGGAGTGGAGCACTATCTTTCTGACAGCATAAATGCTCTGAGAAACTGCTATGGAGACAAACAGTTGTTTACTCCGTTCTAGGTATGTTTTTCCTTAGTATTTTAGAGGGATTCTTAACTATTCCCCATTGTAATCTTTACCTTTGTATTTGTCTCTCTCAAAAGACGATGAGAGTAGCAACTGTTGCAAAGCAAATTCTCAGATGTATCTAAGCATATACATAGATTGGACAAAAACCGAATCTTAAATTGGGGCAGTGTATGTGAATGCATGCAGTGTGGTTAGGTTCATTCCCGCATGGGTTTTCGTCTTCTTTTCGTTAAATCGTTAGGTTCATTCCCACATGGGAGAGGTGTGTGTTTTTGCCATCAAACTGGTAGAGACGGATCTTAATCAAATACCATGCCGTAGTGTTATTTGGTTTGCATCTATGGAACTATATATTTACTTTGTTGTTGTTGACGGCTTCGCATGTTCTTTCCAGATAATGCTGCCTTTTTGGATTTCGTATGAGTGTCCTGCGTCGGTTCTAGACGATCAAAAGAGGGATGATCGCTGTCATTCGGACTGCGGGCGTCCACTTCAAAATCCTGGTAAACACGTCATTTTCTTGATTTTAGGCCATGCAAAATTCATGGTGAAAAAACTGAGCTCATGTCGTTGGTTTGTGCCTCTGTCCTATTTCTTATTTATTTATTTTATCAATCCTTTTCCTTCTTGGTTCTATTTGTAGCTGCTGGTTCCGATATTTCGTTGTCCTATCTGTGCATGATATCAGTGCTGCCACTTTTCATATTCTTATCAATGCTTACATCTTCACTCTTTTCCTTCTGTTTCGTTTGCTTAACATGGTTTCGGCTTTCTGAGATTGTGTGTTTGATTAACATTTGATCGTATGGTGTTAGAATTTAAATTTGATTGGTTTTTTAAACCAAGATTGTGCGTCCTTTGATGTGGATAAATTCTGCCGCCCAAGATTTTGGTCTCTGGATTTTTCATGGTGTTATTTTTATGGCATAATCCATTGGTGTCGTGTGCATTTTTTATCAACAATAATAAGCTTTTTCTTAGTATTGCAAACAAGTTTTCTTATAATTGAAATATTTGAAATCCCTGGTCTATAATCCTCTTGATTCATGGTTTTAACGCCTCCTGATAAAATAACCACAACGTTATCACTTCTTTCATCAGATAGATTTAAACATTCTATCCATTATTGAGTTTCTTTAACGAGTCTCACCCATTTGTCATAAAATTAGATGAGGTGACTTCATACCATCTCAGAGTATTGTCGGAATATAATATGATATTTGATTGTTTCTATTTTTTTTTCCCACGAGTCCCAATTTGTATTTGAAACAATGTCTAATAAACTTACCAGATCTTCATCGCTTATCATACTATTACAGGTTTTGTTTTAAGGTTCTGATGGATAAAGCAAAAGCTCCTACCAATTTAGCAGTGAACCAAGAATTCAGGGCTTTTATTAATGACATATCACATGCCATTTTAAAGGTAAATCTAGATGCCAATCGCTATGCAATTTAGTTTTACTTTTAGCATGTTCCGAGGGACCTTTGAATTTAAATGTTTAGTTGTTTTCATTTTACTATCTTGATAGGTATGTGTGTATTACCATTCTGTTTATCCCCATTCTCTGGTGGTGATTACTGCATTGTTTCTACACAATCTTTATTGGTTCCATTGCTGGACATAAAAGAAATTTCGACTTTTTTTTTTTCCTCCTTTTTTTTTTTTTTTTTTCTGCATTTTCGATTATAGTTTGCTTTGTGCTGGATGTAAAAGGTTTTTCTTCAATGATTATATATAGCTTCAATACATGGTGGTTTACTGCATTGTTTCTACACAATCTCTATTGGTTCCATTGCTGGACATAAAAGAAATTTCGACTATTTTTTTTCTCCTTCCTTTTTTTTTTTTCTCTATTTATTTATCTGCATTTTCGATTATAGTTTGCTTTGTGCTGGATGTAAAAGGTTTTCTTCAATGATTATATATAGCTTCAATACATGGTGGTTAACCATGTTTTTTACGGTGGATCACTTTCGTTGATTTCAGGTTCGACAGACAGTTGAAGAACACATATGATCACCTACTTTTTACGAGGTCCTGCTCATACTTAGTTGTTTATTTTAGCGTAGATTTTACACTCTTACTTTTAGGGTACGTGTGTGTGTAAAGATCATGCAAAACAATGTGACATTGCCTCTCCGTTTTTGGTATCTTTGTTTATCTCTCTGAGATGAGTGCATGGTGCATGTGTCTTAATTTATTCAGGTTAAATGTGTCTTATTCATGCAGTTAAGGTGAGTGCGTTCAAGTCCCGCAGCAACGCGCGGGCATATTTTCTCGTATATGACTATTACAAAAGCCTTAAAGGTGGCAATTTGGATACATGGGCTGATAAAGAATTAGGGATTTATCATGAGCAAGTTGAGCTACATTGTGATAGTCAAAGTGCTATTCACTTGTGTAAATGCCAAGTTTATCATTCGAGGTCGAAACATATTGATCTTTGGTTTCATTTTATTCGTGACCTTTCATCAACAAAAATAAATAAATAAATAAAAATTTCTTTAGCAAATTTTAACTGTGGATAATCCAGTTGATATGTTAACGAAAACACAAATTTGAATATGAACATAGCTCATACGTGCCTGAATATACACGTAACTATGAATCTCGCTCAATTCTTTCATGCTTGATGTCTTGCTTGCATGCATGAGGTTAATCCTTAATTTTCTCGTTAACAACAATTTGTTAATAGTTATTCCTTGATTTTCTCATTAATATTAATTTGTTAATGGTTTACCTCAAAGAAGGGAAAGCCATTAGTATCTGGTATATACATGGCTCTCGTAAGGTGTTTGCAATTGTAGAGAGAGAAAGAGTGAGGAAGAGAGAGAGTTGTGGGCGGTGGGTTTTGTGGCTCTCTCATTTGGGGGGGGTCACTGTCACGGAAGAACCAAAAAGCAGCATAAGAAGTTGAGATTTCTTGCCCTCCTTTCATCTTTGCCTTTGGCCGCCCACCCCTGATTTTTTTTCTTAGGCGTCTACTATCTCTTTCGATTTTCTTGTGCCATCTCTGTTTAATGTGGTTCGATTCGTTTCTGGAAAAAACTTTCTGCAACGAATTCGTTAATTTCTTGACCAACTCTGAACTGGGTCTGCTTCATTTTTAGAATTTACTGCTTATAATCAACAATTAGGTTCTGGGTTATGGTTATACTGTAGGGTATTTTTAAGTTTTGAATGTGCTTCCGGTATTGGATAATTGATTGGGTTACTGGCTCTGTGTATTAGTTCGGATTGCTGTTATATACTCCTGAGGCATGGCTGGAATCCATGTGTCCAAGTATGATCATAGCCCTGTGCACAAGGCCATAGTCACGAGGGATTATGCCGGTCTCAGGAGGATTCTATCTGATCTCCCGCGGCTTTGTAAGCCTGCAGAGATTCGATCTGAATTAGTTTCATTAGCTGAGGAAGAGAAGGCTGATGCCATTGCTGCCGTCATTGATCGGCGAGATGTCCCAAACCGTGAGACCCCTCTTCACTTGGCTGTAAAACTTGGTGACCAGACAGCGGTCGAAATGCTTATGGTTGCCGGGGCAGATGTGAACTTGGTAAATAAAGATGGATGGAGTGCACTCCAGGAAGCAATTTGCAATAGAGAAGAAGCAATTGCCATGATCATAGTTAGGCACTCCCGGGCACTGTCTTGGGCAAAATGGTGCAGAAGGTTACCTCGTTTAGTTGGAACAATGCGGAGGATGAGGGATTTCTACATGGAAATTACATTCCACTTTGAGAGTTCTGTTGTACCTTTCATTTCGAGGATTGCCCCATCAGATACTTACAAGATCTGGAAAAAGGGTGCAAATTTGAGAGCAGATATGTCGTTGGCTGGTTATGAAGGTTTGCAAATTAAGCGTCATGATAAGAGTGTTCTTTTCCTGGGCGATGGGTCTGAGGATGGTAAGGTGCCTCCCGGGTCACTTTGCATGGCCTCACACAAGGATAAGGAAGTGGTGAATGCTTTGGCCGGTTTTAGTTCTCAACCAACTGAAGAAAAGGTTCGGCAAAAGGTGGTTGCAATGTCTCGGACTGTGATGTCCAGGGGTAGGATTGATGTGACTCAGGCAGTACTTTTTCCTCAAATGACCTGGAAGCGGCAGAAGAAAACAGAAATGGTTGGCGCGTGGAAGGCTGTGGCATACGACATGCGTAATGTGGTTGTGAGTATGAAATCTAGAAGGGTTCTCGGGGCTATGACAGATGACAAGCTCGTCTCATCCTGCAATGAAAATGAAACAGAGAGCGAGGAGTTTAAGGATATTCTGACAGAGGATGAGATGAGGCAACTTGAAAATGCACTTTCGTCAGAATTATCAAACGAAAATGGTGATGGGAGTATTGAAGGTGGTTGTTATGAGCACAGGGAGATTCCTATTGAAGATGTTAGTAGTGATAGAAATGGAGAGAATAAGCAGGAAAAGAAAGGATGGTTTGGTGGACGGAGGAAGGGGGGTGATCACCGGAGAGGAAGGGATATGAAAGCATCTTCTTCCGCAAGTCCCGATAATGAGAATCGTCGCAAGGATGCTAGCAAGGAGAACGAGTGTAAGAAAGGATTAAGGCCAGTACTGTGGCTTTCCCCAAGCTTTCCATTACAAACAGAGGAACTGTTACCGTTACTTGATATTTTATCAAACAAGATCAAGGCAATTCGTCGTTTGAGGGAGCTGCTTACAACCAAACTTCCGAGGGGTACATTTCCAGTCAAGGTATGCCAGTGCCACCTTCCCATTATCACTTTGTTGCCCTGTCTGGTTTACGGTTTATGTTATTATTCCCAGTTGATTTTTGTACTCGTGTTTATTTAAGTCATCAAGTGATGCTTTCTTGAACTAACTCGGTGGCTCTGCTTAATTCTGTGTGTGTTTACATCTAGGTTGCTATCCCAGTGGTTCCTACTGTCAGACTAATTGTCACCTTCGTAAAACTTGAAGAATTGCCTTCAACGGATGAGTTTGCAACACCGCCATCAAGCCCCACTGGCAGGGAGAGCCCAGGTTCGACAAGAGCTCCTTGCCAGCGCCCTATTCAAGACCCGTTTGCCATTCCGTCAGAATATAGATGGGTTACCAAATTAAAGAAAGGGAAGAGTCAGAGTCACCAAAAATGAGGTCAGTGAGGGCGGAGACAGAGATCTAATGTAAGGAGGATTGATTTAGCTCACCAAAAGGAACTCGGCAGATACCAAAATAGAGAGAATAGTATTTCATTACTGTAAGGAGAAAAAAAACACTCCATGTTAGGCAAGGCCATTGCTGTGGTCGTCGTCGTCCTTTCTAATAGGAGAATTATATGGATCAATTGTCTATATAAATAGTGGCCATTGTTCTCCTTAGAAAAAGAAAAACCCTCATTAGACCATCTCCAACCTTTAGGCTAAAAGCCAAATTTTTTAGTTTGGAAAATTTATCTTTTAGCCCAGAAACAGTTTTTCTGTTCTAACCCTTCTAGCCTAAAATTTTAGCCCGAGATTATTAAAGAATGAACTTAAACTAATTTTTTTCTTAAATCAATTTTAAAATAAATAAATAAATAAATATGTAGACTATCGTAAATTAATTTTATGAACATTTTAATCTAAAAATATTTAAATTCCGATAAATATTGAAAAATAACTAAATTCTCCACAAAGCAAGCCTTCAACTTTCACCAAACTTTCAACTTTCACCAACCGTTCAACTTTCATCAATCATCTTCTATATAAACACAGGTCCAAATATTAGTTGATCACACAATCTTTCAACCTTCAATCATCTTCTATATTCACCAGTCTTTCAACTTTCAAAAAGTTTTTGTTTCCTAAAAATCCTCAATATCTCATCAACACCTTCATCTCTAGCATTTCTCGGTCCGGCTTCACGTTGAAATAATCTTCCCCATTGTTGGTCCGCATCGATTTCCCACCTCAGACAATCCTTGAGGACGTCCCAAACATGTTGCAACTTAAAAACTTGATTTTTTGGTGTTACTCTTGTCTTGTAAATTTTCATTGTTTTGTCACCCTATGTAAAAAAATACATAAAAATAATTAGTTGCAAAATAATATTATGTACATGACAAATAAAGGGAAGTGTTATTGACACTCCAAAAATCTCATTCTACACTCCTCACAAGTGTATTTTTCTTACCCAATACAGAAAGTTTGGAGTGTAGAATGAGATTTTTGGAGTGCTAATAGCAATTCCCCAAATAAAATATCAAGAAAAAAACTCACAATTTATGTGGTGCTCCTTCCACTAGGCATGCCAACCACGGCTCTCTCCAAGCTTCCCTTCCATAAAATACATGCTTTGTTGATAGTCTTCCACCGATCATAAACACCACCACTGTCCAGCCCCCCACCGTTGCAGTTTTCTTGAAACTTTGCAATGATTTTATTCCACAAAACCTTTTTATTTTGATTTGTGCCAACTGCACCATCTTCGCTAATCGAAACCCATGTCAAGCATAAGGCAACATCTTCCTCACATGTCCAATTACAACCTCCAGTATGCTCTTTTGCCATGTTGAACAATTTGAAAATGGAAAGAGATGGTAGAAAGATAAATTGGAAGAATTGTAGGAGAAATTTGAGTTTTGTGTGGATGTTTGAACAAATACATAGGTATTTATAGAGTTTTTGGGTGAATTTTGAGTTAAATAATTTTTTTTAATTATTTTAGCCGTTGGATTTAAATTTGAGCCGTTAGATCTTTTTTTTTACCGTTAGATTTTATTATATTCGATCTCAGCCGTTGGATTCAATATTTTTAATTAAAAATAAAATTTGAATCTGGACCGTTTGACCAACCAACGGTCCTTAAATGCTGGCCGTTCGATCCGAAAAAGAGTCGTTAGGCTCGGGGAAGTGGCCGACAGGGGCCCTAACAGTGGGCCCCCCGCTGTCGGGAGCTGAACGGAGGCTGGCTGCGTGGGGCACGTTGATGAGTGGGCGGGCCGAGATTGGCCCAAATTTTAGCAAGTCCACGCATTTTGTTTTTGTTTTTTTTTTTTTGGGGGGGGGGGGGGGTGGTGGTGGGGTTGGGTGGGGTGGGCGCTGAGCGTTGCGTATTCGACAGAGAGGAGAAGCTTACAATTGAAGTCGGCTATGACTCCCATCTTTTTTTACTTTGCTTAGAGACTTTTTTCAAATAGATTAACGACCTGAACACCAGACTCACGTGAAAAATAACGAGGAGAAAAGCGGTTGCTGTCACTCGGTTATACATGAAGAGGATGCAAATATTAGTTCATCACTAGTTACGGACGGGACAAGTGTTTGTTGTCTATGGGAAGGAAAGCATCCTCAGAACCTCCTACTTTTCATTTTTTGAGGTATCACGGCCTTTTTTCAGCATTTCAACTGTCGAATGGAAAGACTTGGGTTGAAAAAACAAATCTTGAATATATTGCATTCAACTTCTACTTTTCTTGTTCTTTTCAACTATCACACAGAAACTTGTCCTTCGGCTTCAACCCGACTTTTAGTATGCCTTCATTTCTTCCAAAAATATTATATACAACATCAATTTCGGTGTTTGGCAACTGTTGTGCATAAGAAATGCACCTAAGACAAGGTTAGACTAGACATTCGACTTGTACCTTATACATTTTAATATATGCACAATTGAGGTGTTCAAGCTGGTAGCCTACAAAAAGTTTGTTACCAAATTGTATCTCGAATCACGCGTGCTATTACCCGTGAAGACAATCGACTGAGCACTTCAGGGAGCACTTTGGAAGAGATGCTCGGCAAAACTGGAAGAAGCTCTTGGATAACCTGGGACACATTCAAACCCTGCACACGTCCCCAAAACCACATAAATGCACCACAAAATAAAAATTAGTATCCTGAAGGAACGTCATATGCGACAAGCTGTTGACAGGTGTTGAGTATAAGGGTTGTAATTAAGCACCTGATTTGATATCCTTGACATGGAACTTCCCGCAGTCAGGAACTCGAGTATTGTTTGGACGTTGTTCAATATAACTCTATCCTCTTCGGTTATTGTTGGTACAAGTCCTGCTGGCTTGAACAGCCCAAAGGTAGGAACCATGCCGAAAACTGGGGTAGGATTCCCCAATCCAAGAATAGCCATTGTACGAACCAATTGTTCCCTCGTAACTGCATCAATGCCTTTCACAATCTGCATTGCAGGTGAAATATAATACTTTATACAGATAGTATGCTTAGTATGCTTTACAAGCATTTTATGCAAACTAAATTCTAATTCAAACCATGCACAGTGCTCATTAGATGTGCATACTACTAAGAGACCGCAGCTATAGACCTCTAGTTTGTCAGAGCATTGGACAAGATAGCTGTTAACTAAAGGAAATACATGCAGTTAGACAGATTAGTGAAATCCCATATGTTTTAGGACAGCAAGACAGAAGCCGAGGGAGTGAAAAGAGAAACACTTCTTATGCGGTACCAGTAAAATTTCACTAAACTATCAGGTGATACATACAATAACAAATTTCAGTCCCTAAGACTTGATTTGTTAACATTCTCCATTGCATATTGTCGCAAAAAGGGAAACAACTCTGCAATCAATGTCAGAAAGTAACACCACCATTTCCACAGTCTAAGGATAGGATAGGATAGTAAGCTAATCAAATAATACTTGTTTGTTTTAAAAGTATCTTCTAGAAGTACCTCATCCAGAAGAAATTCTCTGAAAAAGCTCCCTTTATCAGACAGTAAAAATGCTAAAGCCGTCCTTGTTTGTATTGGTTGGCCATTTGACATAAATCCGGGAAAGGGTGACGCGGTTTGACCTTGCAGAATACCAAGTTCAGCCATTTCACCATTCAGTTCCTCTCCACCTCCACTTTTAGCTGCAGTTATGAAAGTTTCAAAGGCTTGCATCACATCAATAAATCTCTCCGCATCAAACAATCCAGATTTCCCATATATTGTATAACGCAACGCACTCCTTAGCCGTGGGGATTCATCAGTCAGGAGCCTCTAACAATGAAACAAAAAGAACGTAAAATCAGAAAAAGATGGAGCATTTCATTAGCATAAAACAACAAAAGATAAAATGATGGAGCATTTCTCAGGTATCCCTAGAGGTTTTTCATACAATCGCATGGTCCAACGAACACTCATTTATGACATAAACGCAAATTAAAATATGGAAGAGCGAATAATTTTATTACCGACCAAGAGACCATTTACACCACCATTAGCATATTTAATCCATGTGATATCAAAGCTAAATGCCAAAAAAGAATCAGATACATGAGCAATACCTGGGCAATATACGGATAGGCCTCATCCACAATGGCAAAATCAGGATTTCCTACTAAAGCTATGCCTTCCAGGACCCCAATTGCCCTAATTATAAGAGCAAAATAAGGGGGTATCCTAAATGGATAGTCGAATGTGATTTGAGCCAAATCTGATGCCAACTCCTGGAAGTTGATATTTTTTGCTCCTCCACCTTCAAGAGCCTGATCAAAAACCTTGGCCAGAACTGGCAAAATAGGTTCTAGATTAACCCCCTCTGAAATGAATTCAAGCTTGACAAAGTCTTTAACTATGGCAGCATAGTCACGATGGATAAGGTGAGCAATTGCCTCGATCATTCCATACTTCTGATCATCAGTTAATTTAGTGACGAGACCTATTACAACAAAAGTGATATTTAGGAAACATGAATTCTGCTTGATAGCTAGAAGTTAGTAACATTTCTGTACAACGTTTCATTTGGAGTGTTCAAGATAGGCAATGTCAAGGAACCAACAGGATTTCCTTAGAGTTATGCAACTTATGCTCATAGGGCACACAAATGTGTCGGACCTGTACATGTGGAGTGCCATTTCTATATTAAGATAAATACCCCACCAATGACGATGAACTGAAGAAAAAGCATACATAATAGGTGATCACAGTCACAAATTGGAATGAATCCTTTGTTATAGAACGTATGCGCATATTAGGTCAGCACGCTGCATTTTAAGGAGACACAGTTTTACAAGCAATGAGGGAATTTGTGAATCTATCATTCAATTTTTTATTTAGTGGTCCCATGTCTATTTTCCTGCTAGTTCATGACTTCAATTGCAAGATTAATGGACCTCACAGTCAGCATACTTTGACTTTTCTCAAGTCAAAGTTTCGAAATTTATTGTAATAGGATACCTAGTTTAAGGTTAACAGTTGTAGGGTTCGGTCTACTTTGACTTAAGATTGGATCTGAGTTTTATTATAGTAAGATGAAATCATGATAAACCAAAGTAGAAGAAACTCCACTGGATGGAAGAAAACTGATGTGGTATCTTTTACCATAATTTTTTTTTTCTATCTATTGATATGCGACATAGGTATATTCTTTAATCATATATTTCTTTTACTTATAAAAGTTTAAACATAGTTCACAGAAGCACATGAAACCAATTTGCACCAAATAATTTAATACTGTATGCAGGTGATGTTTCAAACCAAATGGAAACATGACCCTTGGGAAAATACTGCAATGAGTAGAATATTACCAAAGTCAAGAATGGCAAGCTTCCCATCTGGAGTACGAATCATATTCCCAGGATGAGGATCAGCATGAAACATTCCAGTATCAAGCAACTGTAGAAGAATGACAATTTAAAAAACTTGGCTAGAAGACGTAAAGGGTGCTAATTATCATTTACATTAATTTAGCCCATCCAAAAAAGAGTAGCATGCAATTGCATTTCCTTGCCCAAAAATTACTCTAAAAAGTGAAAAAGGAAACGCGAGACGTAAAGGGTGCTAATTATCATTTACATTAATTTAGCCCATCCAAAAAAGAGTAGCATGCAATTGCATTTCCTTGCCCAAAAATTACTCTAAAAAGTGAAAAAGGAAACGCGAAGCCACACTGGAGCGGTATTTCTAAACAAATACAACAACAAAACCTTAACTTATGAAAATCATCACTGTGTAAACAGCACGATAAAGCGGACTTTCACATGCCAAATACGTAGAAAAACAATTTTCAAAAGTTAATTGTATGTTAATCAAGCAGGAAAGAATATTGCCAGATCTGCAGGAAGAATGCAACTGTTTCATGACCATGCTTAACTATGAAGTATAAAAGGTCAACCGAAACTGAAAGTCTGTTTATAATTATCTGCCTCCAGAAATACAAAAGCGGCAAATCTAATAATAGTACTTTACCTGCTTCAGGTAACATATGACTCCAACATTAACCAGTTCTCCAACATCACTTTCAGTACTCTGAGATAACTTTTCTCCATCTATCCATCCTGTAGTAAGAACCTTTCTTGAAGTATATTTCTGGTAGGTTTTTGGTATAACTACCTGAAAAACATGAATGCATAATAGTTTACACATTCTTAAGCAGATACTATTACACATAAGAAGAATCACAACTAGATAGGGGAGATAAATTTTGTTTGGAAAAGGTTCTGAAGTGCTATTTATGGAAGCCAGCTCACACATTTGCACATTTTAAGGGATTCTAAAGCCATCTCTTAGCATATAAAGTGAAGATGCAAGTGCAAGAATATACAGAGACTACGATTCCACCCTTCTGTGGAAGAAAGTGCTATTTATTTAGTCAAGACAGTAGCGTATGTCTGTTTGCGTGCATGTATTGAGATGGGGGGAAGAGGGGTGTATAACAAAACGATGTTCGAGCTTATCAGACTCACCTGTGGAAGGTCCTTCCTCATCAATTCAGCAAAGATTGTTCCATTTTCACCCTCATTAACATAATCCAGCTCTTCAAAAAAACGAGCTGCCCATTCATCAACTAATCCAACCACATCTATCGAGATCTGGCAAGATAAGGGAAGGAGGAAATCACACAGCCTTAGAAAGAAAGTTATGAAATCAACAGAAGAAGCAACAACACCATAAGTTGGAGATGTACCTGAGGAAACTTCCTGAGAACCAAACCCAAGTTGCGTATGACAAACAAATCAACAGTCACTGTTTCAAGAACAAAAGGCCGTTGCACTTTAACAGCCACGAGATCTCCATTTTCTTTCAGCCGTCCCTTATATACTTGCCCGAGAGATGCTGCAACAGATATTCCACAAGAAGATAAAATCTATTAGAGCATGGAACTTCAGAAGCTAGATGTTGTAGATATAATCACCAGAAGAAGAAAAAAAAGTGTCTTTATGATTAAATAGTATCATGATTCCTACCAGCAGCAATTGGAGAAGGAGAAAGCTCAGAGTAGATGTTAGGCCATGGCTGACCAAGCTCCTCCTCAATGAGAGCCATAGCTATATCATCTGGAAATGAAGGAACCTTCATGTATCATCAATTGGACATATCAGCTATGAAAAAGATACCATGAACTATATATATGATGACATTGCTAAATGTATCGCATTCACATTCACCTATGCACCGACAGAAACTTTGTGAAAAGTAACAATGCCAACTCCAAATATTAAAATGGTATAAGAAGAAATGCCTTTACCTTATCACAAAGCTTTTGTAGCTCAGTCATTGCAGCAGGTGACAGTATATCAGGTCGAATGCTCAAAGCTTGCCCAAGTTTGATATATGCGGGACCCAAAGAGGTTACAATTTCCCTTAATTCAATGGCTCCAGCAACTTCATTCTGATCAAGAAAATATTGATAAATCAAGGTAAAGATTGAACATTCACAACACAGGCAAACTAAAATTTTACAAAAGGCAAGTAACAGTATCTGAAAGGAGAGCTGCAAGACTCACCTCCTTGACCTTCTTGTTTATAATATCCCACACAAGACGCGAGAGAAAACCCCCAGCAACAGAGAGTAATTGGGTTACACGTGTCAAAACAGCACGTGGCCGTTTTCCCCAATAAGCAGAGATACTATCAGGATCATACACCAAAGGCAAAAACTCACTGCTTTCATCTACCTATAGATGCAAAAAGAAATTACATAGCATAAAAAACCAACATATAGCAATACAACAGCTACACCAAGTTTCCAAAAATAAAGCCTCGGTAATTTATGGCTTCAGTTGGAAAGAGCATTAAGGAACAGAAAAGTGATTACATCCATTGATAGTAAGTGATGACTCAAAAACACCTGCAGTTTTCCACTAAGTATCCAGCTGTTGTATTATTCTTATGACTTTTTTCAGCACCATTTCAAGAGTATGATGTTGTTTAAGTACAACGGGCATCAACACTTACCATTTTCAACCAATTTCATATAAAACACACAGAAAAAGAAATAAATAAATAAATAAAATTGAGAATAATAATACCTCAACAAGGCGAAGCTCAACGTCATCCTGAGCGAACTGTGAGTCGCTTAGATTTTGTCCCCGAAGACCTCTCATGAGTATTGCCAAGTCTTCATTTTCTTCCATCTGTGCCCTCACTCTCTTGATTTCAGTTGAAACATCTCCAATTCTCTGCCAATTTCCAAAATCAATCATCTATCAGTAAGGAATTAAACAAACTTTAGAATTAAATCCAGAGTTTTCATTTTCTTTTCCACTTTCTCATCAACCAAACAGACATTTGAATGACTGAATATCACCGACCAACTCGATCAAGAAACGAAAGAGAAAATTACAACAAAGCAAAGACAAGATTTGACCGCTGATTAATACCGTGGAAACTCCAACTCCATTGATAGGTTTGGAGCCGTTGACGGAGTTTGGAGGCGGAGATTTGGGCAGCGAGCCGTTGGAAACCCTGTTGAGAGATTTCGATGGCGGAGTGCGTGAGGAGCCATTGGAGGAGCCTGGCGACCCGGAGCCAGTGGGTTTGGGGTCGGTGGCAACCGCTAAAATACGGTGAAGTCGTTTGGGAATGCGAATTCTAGTGTTTGTGTTTGGAAATGAATGTTGGGAGGTGGAGATGCCGATTCCGCTGCAGACCAGCTGTGGCGCTGCGCCCATCGGGCGGAGCCGATTTGAGACGCTTTCTTTTTCTTTCTTTCTTTCTTTCTTTCTTGAGAGAGAGAGAGAGTGCGCGTGTCTGTGTCAGTGTGTGTGGAAGCAGAGCAGAAAAGAAAGAAGGGGACTCAGAAAATGTGGGTTGGCAGATTAAAATATTGAGAGGCGTTGGAAGGACCTACTCATTACTGGCCGTTGGAGGAAGACGTGGCAGGATGCCAAGCCAAGGGAAGCTATTTTTTAACTTTTATTGCTTGCTTGGTTGGCAAACCTTTCCTTTCCATTCATTTCCACTTCGACCATAAGCCTAAGAGATTGCCTGGATTATCGTTTGATGGAATCTATCGCCGACCGGACAACCATGAAAACTTGGTTTCAATTCGAGTTGGCCGGATTTGCAGGTTACCAATGAATTAGAGTTTTAAAAACTTTGTGTCCTGCCAAACTCTCATTTTATCTAGTATAAAAATATCGATGTACTAAAAAAATTAAAAAATTAAAAAAATAAAAAACAAACCTTATGACCTTGATTTTCGGGGACTAAAAAATTGAAGACTATGCAACTAAAACTTGGAAAAGAAATAGGGATACTGGATTTGGAGCGAGTTGAACATGAGGCTAGAGCAGCATCTTACAAAACTTTACAAAGAAAAGCTAAAACAAAGAAAAACGAGAGAGATTGTGGGAAAAAAATAAAATCTGAGAAACGGAAAAAGACAGATTTTTACGATCCAATAAAAATATGAATTGATTCTAACATTAGTGAGTTTGGGCAGGTCAGTTTTCCACGAGTTAAGTGTTTTAACACCGCTCACTGAATATTTATAGGCAGCTAGGTGGGTGGATTATAACTCGTAATACAATAAATTATAAGAAAAACTAATGAAAAATGTTTAAAAATTATAAGTTTTAACGATAAAAACAAAATAAAGGTAAAGTGAATAGTACTATAATTGATTTTTTAATATAAAAATATAATTTTTTATTAAAATAAACAGTATCGAGAATTTTTTATTAAAATTCCCTGCTTTATAAGATCAAAACCGACCCAACATGTCCTGTCATCGGTCGATACCGTGGATTTGGCGGTTTGTTGAGCTAAATGACAAATCAAGTTCAAGTGTGTAAATTGTAAGAAATAATAATGACATGAAAATTATTTTGCGAGTGGCATTCGTTTTATTGTCGCAAGTGAAAGTTTCATTTTATTTGGTAAATCTTTTTTGTTTTAGGACACACTAGAAAATATGTCCGCACGATGGTGCGGGATTTGAATGCATCACGTTGAATTGTATAAATAAGACACATTTTACCTGAATAAATTCAATATAATCATGAATAAAGAGAATGATAGATGAGTAAATGGGATCGGTAAGATATGCAGCTTTGTTTTTATATACATTCAACTTAATTGACATGAAAAGACATTGTACAATTAACAGGACGAAACTGAACATTTTGGTTCCCTAATAAACAGAAGTAACATTTAGCACACACAAATCTTGCCCCTGCAGTCAATGTGGCAAAATATATATCCTATAGGTTAGGCACATGTTTGAGCAGTTGACAAAAAACATACAAATTGTTTCGTTCTTATTCTAGCATCTAAGTTTTCAAGCACAAACGTGCAAAGTAAAAAACATGCAGGACGCCTGTTTCCATAAGAATCTAAGATATAATTGACTTGCAATTCCATTATAATCTCTCACACACACACACACACACACACACACAAAAAAAAAAAAATAAAATAAAATAAAAAAAAGAGAAGAAGATCAAATTTTGATTGAAACATCAAACAAAACAATCTCATCCGTTACAGATTGGACCAATAAATAAAGAATCTATGGATATGATTTTCAATCAAACTATAAAAAAGAGCTTTATAACAGCGCAATCAACATCATTTGAACTCAACTAAAAAGAAACTGATAGCATGTTATAAATTCCATAGGTAATTTGATTTTGCAGATTAAAAAGAGTCGAAGAATATTGAAAATTACTAAACCCCATCACAACAAATCCATACCCATACCTCCCTTACCCGTTCCCTTCAACCCTTGCAGAACATGCTCCCATCTCTCTCACCCTGCTCCCATCTCTCTGTCTGTGCAAATCGCAGAAAACAAATCCTAAACCAAATCCCTGAAATCCCTCGCCTAAATCCTCCCACATCTCTCTTGGACACCCCCGATCTCTGACTCTGCAAACCCTAAACCAAATCTCCTAATCCTATCTTGAACCCCCCTCATCTCTCGGCCAATCACACAAACAAAAACCCAAACCTAATCATTCAAATCCCACCAAAACCTAATCCTTGAAATCCTACCCAAACCTAATCCTGAAACCCCTTGTCTCTCAGACACCCAACACCTCTCTCCCTCAGATAGCCCTAAACGAAGAGCCTCGTAGCATCGAATCAGCCTGCAACACCCACGGGCGAGATTGAGACTACCTTTCATATTTTCATTTTAATGTACCAACAAGGAAACTATAGTATATTCCAAAATTTGTAGTTTACAGAGAAATATAAATATTGTTTTCAAGGAATTAATATGATTGCAAATGTAATAGCTTCATACATTACTTAGTGAGGTAGGATAAATGATGGAAGATGCCCTGAAATTTGAGGTCCATGTCCATAGCATTGATCCATATATGGATATGTTGCACAGATCTACAATTCAAGTTCCGAACAAAGTATCAATTTATCAGCAATTGTGACATTCATTATTCCTAAAAATGTTGTGGATTCACAAATAAACAAATAAAGTAATCGGAAAAGAAACGCTTACCACATGCTGGTTGAATCCGAACTCAAAATGACCATGATATTTTCCCGACGATCATCACTAAGAGATTGCTGCCTGGGACTTCTGTCCATCCCCTGAAAACAATGTCATTAAGTTATTTATTGGATAAATGTGTGTGTACCCAAGAACTACACTGAAACAACCACAAAGATTCAAACTTCCACAGTAAATATGATCTGCAACTAATAAAAAAATAATCGACTGGAAATCAGATATATACCCAAATGAATTTGAACCCACCAAGCAAAACTTAAAAACACACGGGTTCAGATAAATTTTTGGTTATTGTTTCTCTTTCAAGCAACCTTACATCAGTAAAGGAAGCCAGAGATTTAACCTTTTACCTTTTACCTTGGGTCTGAGATCCTCAGGTCATGCACTCTCCAAATGGTTCCAGAAAACAAAAAGCACTGTTTCCTGGAAAAGCACCAATATTCAGACATTTGCACAACTAATGGTGCACTAATTGAGTTCCCAACCTTATATGCACCAATCCAAATAAACATATTTTACCAGAATAAATCCAACAAAATCACAAATCAACATAGGCATCTCTTAAGAATTTAAATAACCAAGATTTGGACGAACCGAATGTAAGCATTTGTGCATAGATGTGAAACTATTTACATAAAACATGTGAAGGACAATCAGTTTAGAGTTTCAAAATATAAAATATTAAAATTTCCATAAACGATAAGTATTGGGAAACAAAGTTGGCATCTCACCTTCCACAATAGGTCGACAAATCCTTTGATTACGCTTTAGCTTCTTGTTTACCAGAAAACACAAATTCATTGTTCAGAATATCATAATTTCATGAAATGGTTCACCTTTGAATCAAGAAGAGCACCTCTGTTTTATGTATGGTACTGATAATCAACTTATAATATTGGATCTCAATTTATTTCAAACTTTTATGCATTTTTTACTAGGGGTGTGATATCCACACACCCCATTTTACTTCTCACACCTTTTTAATTTTCGACCGTCGGATCAGATGAATTGAAGAAGATCAACGGATAAAAATTATCAAGGGGTGTGTGAGGTAAAATGGGGTGTGTGGATAGCACAACCCTTTTACTATTCTAGGATCCATTTAGGCAATCTCTTAGACCATTAGTTTGTTCCCTTTGACTAAAATAAAAAACAGCACATCCGCTTGCTGCTTAGTGACTTGATAAGTCAGTCACAAAAATAACATGTAGAATGCAAATATGGATCAGGAAAAAAAACAGCTATAGAATTGATTATACAGAGGAAGAATACGTACTTATTGTGAGGTTATCCCAGATATCCACTATGACCCAGTATACATAGCAAGTAAAAACTACAGCAGCAAAGATCTCACGTATATAAATCTTACATAAACTTTGTTTTTGCACAGTGTCTTCTCCCTTCAATGACTGTTTGTTTCTTATCCAGAAAAATAAAATGAGCAGGTTAATGATACTCACGTGTAAAATGCTAATCCTACAGTCTAAAGTTAACTGAGTTTTTTAGTGTAAAATCCCTAATTTCACTGCATTTCGATTGATCACAGTTTGTGACTTGTTAAACTTGATAAATCCTTAGACATTTTGGGAACTTGACAGCTTAAATTTTCTTTAGTCACAGATGTGCTCATAAAAGCAAATTACAGCAACCCAATATATACTAAAAACTTGGAGAAGGGACTCAATTAGTCAACGAACAGGTGTCTCACCTTTCATGTTAAAGACCAAACAGAGAAAACCAAGCTGAACTCTTCAAAATTCGTTGGCACACATGCATCATCAGCTCAATTGAATGTATAATGCATACTTAGATACAACCATTCAAAAAATTGTTATAGATTGACATAAGCCTCCAAACTTCAAAAAAATTGAAACCTTAAAAAAGCAAAGCCTTTTTTCCTTCATATTTGTATTGTTTCGATTAGCTTATCTCTCTATCACTTGATTCATTATTTCTAAAGGAAGTTCTAATCACTACCAAAAGAGCTTAATAACAGTTGATTATCTCTAAAAAAAAGAGGGAAAACATGAAATACTAACTGTACTGAAATCCCAAATGCGTAACACATGGTTCTAATCTAAACCCTAATTCTAAAATTTAGAATTCGGCACAAAAATGAAAATTGGAATGATTAGCATGGAAATGAAGGAGGAGAAGTGTGAGGGAATCTACACATGAGGGCTTCAGATCCGAGTCCGGAGCTGGAAGCGGTGGAGGTTGCGAACTTAAGAGTATGGAAAAGGCGGGAAGGATTTCCTCTGCTGCCTCATGGCCTTTCCCGTCGCTGGATCTGCTCTGGTTCCTTGCAAAAACAACGAAAATTAAATAAGAAACTCACCAGAAACTCAGAAAACCTCGTCGAAAAAACTGGACAGCAACTTACCTCGGATTCACCTTTAACCCGTAACAAATCTTTTCACATTATTCTCTATTGCCACTCGTACTTCACTCAGTACTAATCGATATAGCTGAAAGTCTGAATCATGAAGAACGAGAAGTTGAAGTATATCAAATGATAAAGTTGTCAACAATGAAGAATGGGACATTGACCATGGAGACACTGCAAGAAGCAAAAGTGAGCAAATTAAATAAATACCAGCATCGACCTTTAGAAAAAAGTAAGAGCAGCAACTATAAATGAAGAATGTGCAATCAACATTAAAAGTGCATTATAGGAACATAGATCTCATAACTAGAAGACACTTTCTCACCAAACAATGGAAAATAATCGGAGATGCAATTCAATAAAAAAAAGAAGTTAGCACTTGCTTATTGCCTTCCAAAGAAGCTAATGGGTCTATCTGGTTGAAGTTTTTAGCATTGCCAATAAAAACAACAAAACTCACATCAAATTTCAAATTAATCAACTCAATAGCATGCGCACCTTAACCGCTAGATGACGAAACATTGGTTACTCAAACAAATCGCAAAGATCACAAACACAAATCATGAATTAGAGTTTGAATACGCATCTCCCGATTTGAAACCCTAACGTAATTCCCCAATTGTCGAAATTATTCGAAAAAGAAAGAAAATTTCCAAAACATTAAACCCAAAATCCCGAGATTTATAGCCAAAAAAGAAAGAAAATTTCCAAAAAATAAACCCTAAAAACCAAAAACCCACAAATATGCCCTCTTGAGGAATCATCCAAGAATCAAATCGGAGAAATCGCACAGAAGAGATTGAAGATTGTCACATACCGACTTGGAAGATGCAACCTTTGGGGTTCTAGCTGCTAGGGTTGAGATGTTAAACCTTCTACTAAGAAAATGACATTGGACAGCGTAGGATACATACTGCTCCCCCAGACAGACCTGCATGAAGTTTTATCCACATCAAATGCGAAAAGAAGGATGGTCAGTATATGTGTTTTAGTAATCAATCTATATTTGAAGCAATGAAAAAATAGCATAGGACATGAGCTATCATAAATTAAAATTATCAACAATCTCTTCTATCTTGCCCAAATAATATGTATCTAATAACTTTAGAATACGTATTCCGATTACGAAACATAGCGAAACTACAGACCAAAATAAATACATTGAAATATGCAAATATGCAGCAAATCCCTCAAGCAATTTTAAGAAAAAAAATGCCTCTTAAATCAGCCACCAAATTCAAATTAACAATTGTCTCCATAAAAGAAGTAAAATGGATAAAAAGATACCTGGTTTTGTTCAAAACAATACAAATTCCACAGCATTTTGTTCAAAACAGTTCAAAATCCACAACCCCTGGAGCAATTGGGGCTGTAATCAGATGGCTGCAACCAAACGAAGAGCTTCAATCAATTAAAGTCAACAAAATATCAATAATTAATCTAAAAAACAAAAAAACAAAAAAAAATCAAATAAATGAACACCAGGGGACTGAGGAATGCTACTAAACATCAGTAAGAATAGAAACGAATAATTAAATGCTTGAGCTTCAATGAAAGCATTTTACCCTTGCAATTTTCCAAGATAGTGGAGAGGCAAGATGCTCATGTATCAGTGAGGGGATTTTCAAAGATATTGAGCCCTTCCAATCGAGCAAATAGCAAAGGGCATTCGCAAATCTGAAGATTGAAACACAGAAAATGGTTGTGGACTGATAGTGAGTACAAAAAGGCCTTACCATTGTCCTGCTAATAGCAAATTTAAATATATAGTTCCTGACTGAAATAATCATCACTGCATATAATAAACCTACAAAAATCCATGATCCAATAGACTTCGCATGATGAGTATTGTTGCTAAATTTCAATAAGATAAAGACACAATCGGGAAGAAAGACCAAAAAATAACAGAATACTCAGTAGAAAAAGGCAAAGGCTTGAATTTTATATTAATCTACTTGGAAACTTTCTTCTTAACCAAACAGAAGATCAAGAAGTTAATGAAGCAAAGCACCTGAAACGCCTGACTGGTTTCTGGAAAACGGTGGAGAAAAGTAGAGGAACTACGTTTTTAGATGATCGGAAAAAACGATGAAACAAAATGGAAGATACTGGAAGGGTCTTCCTTACCAACGACGATGAAATCCGATTGCCATTTCAAGCTCCCTCAATCACGACCTATAGGAAAATATCAAACCCAAACAGTCCACTGAAATCCGAATTCAATATAATCAAACACAAACAAAATACCAAAATTATAAATAAAATAAAAAAACTAAACTAAACTATAAGTTAAAACTTTCAATTGAATATCCCCAGAATTTAAATTACTTACCAGTAACAGATTTCTCTGAGTAATCAACTTCTCGATTATGGTCATCGAACACAACATTCTCCAAAACTGCCAAACACATGCAACCATATTTGATAAGAATTTGAAATATCACTCCAATCATGACACAGAACATAAACATTTCGCGCTGACTGTCATTTTTAAAGTAGAATGTTTAATTATATCATGATGTTAAGTACCAGTCCCAAATATGATAGCATTCCAAATATCTGGTTCCTTGTCCCTTGACAAATCAATACACTTGGCATAGCAACCACCTTCAATGTTTGATACACCATTGTTGCTCCAGCAGTGATCATCATCTCCAATTAGATACCGATTATGATCCGTAGACAGAGTCGTCTTTCCAATGCTTGCAACAAACATCCCAGGATCAGTTACACAAACACGAAAGAAGCTGAAACACAAAAGATTGATGTATCCATCGCCAATTGATCATTGCACACATAAAATTATCAAGATTTATACCTCTGCGTCGATATTGAATTTTATAAACTGGACAAATGGAACCCGATTTCATCGACTTCACAGTGCAAGTGCTGTAAAAAATAAGCAAACACTACCAATATGATCAAGCACATTCCAAGTATTAATACATTCAAATAAAACCTAACATTCACATGCGAATAACAATGAAGGTAGAGATTACTTGCAGAAGAGATGATTGCAATTGAGTGAATCCGTAGAACTCAGTGGACTCAAACTGCAAAACAGATGGGGAAAATCAAACCCATTAACAGAGTGAAGAGAGATTTTAAATCTTTAAACGAATTCTAGACAAAATCATGTAAAGGGTCTGTTTTGGCTACCGAGAAACTTAGTATACATTTGAATATTATTACATTTTAATACAAAAAATTTAGCTTTATTCAGATGGGAGAGATCAAAGGTTGCATCATTCAGCTTCACACATGGCCAGAACACAATTTCAAAAACTAAGTCATCTCAAAGTCACATTCTTTATCAAACTCCCACTCCGGAATTGAACAAAGGTTGATAAGGGGCAAAAAGAAATACAAAGTACGAAATATAATCAATATCATCAGTCAAAACTTGCTGCAAAGGGTGAGGGGTCAACCATCTGATTTTTGCCCCTCAACCTCGGCCTGCATGGACAAACAACGGAATAATTCATACCCAAATAACCCAATAACATAAAATGCACAGTAGAAGATTTGATAAGCAGTGTACAGTACATAACCAAACCTGATAATATATGCCTTTAACAGATACAAAGACTTTACGCAATTTATGAGTCTGAGATATGTAAGCTTGCCATTCATGACTCAACCTGGTACGAAAGCATCAACAATATTAAGGGAACATTCCATAAAATGATTAACTCCTAGAAGTAACTAAGCATCATTTCATACTTCAGAACTCCTTTTATTTAGAAAAATTCAAACATCTACCTTCGACAGTTATGAATGCGTTTGACATCAATTCTGTCCTCAATAGCAGGTAATGCCGCAAAAAGGTGAACCATGGTGAGGCAGTCGTCTATATCTCTGAGTCAATCAATGAATTTTGGATA